AAACAAAAGCCAAAAATCCGCCCCCCAAAAGCCATTTATCATAAAATGCCAACACAATGCCACCGATACGCCGAGACAGAACAAAATTCAAGATTATGTCTTCAGGTTGATAAACGAGATGTCAGCCAAAGTATTTGGCTGGTTCCTTAACACCTCACCGAATCGAATAACAAATTGGGTTATTGAAGGTTGGGTCACATCAAAGTTGGGTGCTCTAATTTGCAATTGTTTTAGTTGGTAATTAGGCAAAGCCACAGCCACGAAAAAAAAGGTGAATCAAAACACCAAATAAACAATGATAAATCTAGGCCTAGATAATTTGATGAATTTGATGAGACTTTGATGTGCCAAAAATAATTGCATGCAAATTTATTTTAATGCATATTTACCCTCGTAATTGCTGCAAATTTACGTTTCATTTAATCGGCATGGTCCGAGGGTCCGTCCCAGACAAAAAGAACAAGATATTGTGATAATGAAGCTAAAGGATCGAACAGGAAAATACCCTTACTAAGTAATTAATGAATCGTTAAAAGTATTCTGAAAACAATAGAACAATAGTTTCAAATGGAAAGAGTTATGCCAAGTATTACATATGAACAACAATTCCTAATCCCTTGATCAGCTTAACATCCTTTATGAAATTTTCTGTGGACTTCCTCTCCATAATATACCCTTTTTCCGCTGGACAGTCAAATGGCGACCATGAAAAAGCGGCAAACAGATTATAACTCCCAACTGACATTCGGGGACTTTATTATTTGGCCATTGAAAAATGCGAAGCTATCCATGGGTTGTGGGAGGGATAACGCGAGCGACCCAAGTGGATTTTAATTTTTCAAAGTTAAACAGCGTCGGCGACCCTTTTTTTATGTCTCGCCCCCTTTGGGGGCTTGGGGCCTGGCATCCTGGCTGGCCCGCTTGAATGGACACTGCGAATTGTGGACGGCTGACTTCACCGGACCGGGCAGACCGTGCGGACTGTGTTTGTGTAAATGTCGCCGGGATTTGGCCGTCCGACCGGATAGCTTCATTGTTTACCTTCGCGACTCTGCACTGATTGATCCCTTGGGTGGCTCAACACGCCCCGATATTCCCCTTCTGCCCGTCCGTGTAATTAATTTTGCTTTTTGATTTGTGATTTGTGTTGGGGCTGGCAGAAGAGTGCCGGCGAAAAACCATCAAATTGTCACGTAATTATATTTGCGTTAATGATGTTTCGACCCGACGTCGGCGACGCCGGCAGCAGCATTGACCATCGGAAAAGTCAATTAATATTTTTGGTGAATGAACAACAATTTAGATTGCTGTGTCGCTGGTGGGCTTTAATTAAAATGCTTTGGCCGCAATTTCAATACACGCTGCGATTTTTAATTTTCATTGAAATCGTGACAACCGTTTTAATTCATTCTTTAGCTTTTGTTTCCTTTTTTTTGCTTTCCTTCTTTCATATTATATATATTTTTTGTATTTTAATTTGCAAGGCACGCGACTTTAAAAACCCGCTACAGATTTAACCGATAATGACCAGAAAAAAGTTTGAGCCATTAAATTATATAAGCCTTAAGTGGTACTTAATCTGGCTTTAATTTTTTTATGCCAAAACTGGTTTTCTCGTTCTGCTTTGCATCCGAGGAAGCTTGATGATACAATTATTCGACCTTGTCTGAGGCTGTGACGTCGGTATAAAGATAATCCGATGAGGAGAATATATCATCAGATGAGATTGAATATATAGGTCAGTTAATTAAAGGCCCACCCAATAATTCCCACTTCCTGGAAGGAATGTCGAAATAATAATTTTAAAATTCTAATTAGATTTTCAAACAATTCCTAACAAAAAGTGTTGGCAAATCATAAAAAAAGTTCTAGCCAATCATAAAATGCAATATGAATTCTTCTAATTACAAACACGAACTATTTATTAATATAGTCCATAACTTGTTAATAACCAGACATGCTAACCTCTTGTTTTGCAAAATTTTCATTTTAAACTAACACGTTATTAGACTAACAATACCTAACAAGGTACTTGACTTTTATGTTTAATATCTAGTGTTGTCTTCTTAAATATATATATAATTTTACACATAGCCATTAATATATATATACATGACAATGTTTACGGACGTGCTTCACTCATCCGTCTGCTCACGTGCTGCATATTCATGACAAGGGTTCGACTTGGCTTGACTGGAGTTCACATATGACACCGAGAAAAAATAATCCAGCACATATACTAAGGAAAATATAAATGATCTGCAAAATAATGACAGTTGTATTAATATTCAAATACCATAATAAAATAGGTTGTGAAAAAGAAACTTTATTGAAATAAGCCCTAAGCCCTGATTAGTATTTATTCATTTGAAAACATCCAACCGTGAAAATAAACCAATTTATATATTTAGGGCTTATATTTTCCTGATAGTGTTCCAGATAGTGTGTTGTATCAACATGAATTACTATTAATGGCGTGCAGTATAAATTGAATTTCATTACACGACGACGTCAATTAAAAGCATGTAAAACTCAATCGCCGATGACGTTTTTAAATGCAACCGAGCCATCATCGGGCGGTCGCGACAGTCAAGTCAGAGTCAGAGGAGATGCCAGAGTCCCGGGGGCGAAAAAGGTAAAGAGCCCAGGAGGGCCGTGGGGGACACATTGACGTTGGCTTAATGAGTCGGCAAATGGCTGATAAAAATGCACAGTGAATATGAAAATCACTGGCACTGGCGCTGGCGCTGACACTCGTGACGTCGTGACGCGGCGCAAAGTTCTCGAAACTGACAGGAAACATTGATAAAAGTGCCAACTGACATTGCGTAATGATGGTGCGCTCTGTTCCCGCCTTAATAGCCGGCTCATTAAACCAGGAATGCATTAAAAACAAGCAACAAAAAATGGAAAAATAAAATTAAAATGAAATATCACAATGCAAAAAAAATGATTTAACATACATCATGGTGAAAAAGTTTTTTAATCAAAAACTTACTGTCGCCTGCCATATTTCACATTCGAAATATTAAAAATCTAATTAAAACTTAAACAGAATTGTACATTATATACATCACTATACTGGCGTGGACGCATTTTTGCAGTAAAAATTCATTTAAGCTAAAAGCCCATTAACAATTATGACTTTCCTTTGCTGCGCGAAAGCAGTTGAAACTTGAAAGGAAGAACTCGCTGCAAGTGACGCAGGCTCGCTTTTTCTTTATACCCGCCCCGCCCTGTAGCCCCTTTCTCTTGGCTTTGTTATAAAACGTCGACAGTTTTTGTACGGCTGCCCGACTTCCCTGATCCGCCGACTATAACTAGTGATGATTCTGCAGTAGCAGCAACCGGCAACCAGCAACCAGCAACAGCAACTGCAACAAAAGCTGCAACAGCGAGTACGCTTTGACTTTGCTTCATTTTCAGTTTTACTTTTTGAAGTTTTAATTCTTTGAATCTTAATGACTTCTCGTAATAAGTTTTCATTTCTCATAATTTCTTGGGTTAATAGAATCTTTGCCGCTTTATGTGTTGTATGGCTGCTGTTGCGCCGTGTAGACCAACTTGCCGTATACTGGGGTAATTCAATTAATTTACGGTAGAGCTCCAAACAGATCAGAACAATTGGTAAACGATTGACTTCTCTTTCAATTAAAACTATTCTTTTTTTTAGTGATATTCCTCTTAAATATAAAACACTAATTTTATTCACAAAAGAGTCCTTACCAAAGTCGTATAACATTTTGTTTAAGGCTCCCATATTTCATCTAAAAACAGATAAGCCAGAGGCCACTGTAGCCTGCTCATTGCAAGTTTTTTGTGGGAAAATATAAGAAAATAACAGAAAACTATAATTATGGAGTTGACACAAAGTCATCTATGTAGCTGCAGTGGCAGTAGTTACAGCTAAGAGCGGCTGCCAGTAAAAACGCAGACGACAATAATGACTGGGACGAGTTTGAGGGGAAAAGGAAAAGGACTATGTGGAGTCCTTGGCAGCCATGAATTCTATCAGAGAGGAAGCACTAGAAATGCATAAAAGTCGGACTGCATAAAGCGCAGCAGGACCGCAGTTGACATTTATGTGGAACTGTCAGCGCTGGCTTAAAGTAAACTTGGCCCAGTCTGGGGGAGGCAATATCATCTTGGCCAAACCAAGTCCTTCAAGAGCGTTAAATGCTTGGCTTCTGATTGCTGTGCTCGGTGGTTGTGGCTAATCATAAATTCAAAAGCGGCAAAAGTGCAACAGTAGTAACAATTAACTTATTAAATGGTCTTAGCGGGGGCGAGTTGAACCCCCAGATGGGAGAAAAAACCATTTGGCGAGGGGAAAACCGGCTGACAAAGGATGTGGGCATGGAAATTGTGGAAATGAAACCGAACGAGGCGTGAAGATGACTCCCAACAGAAGGGAGAAACTGGTAGGAAAAGTGAACCGCATCGACGCGGAATGAAAAAGGGAGCATTTCCCCATGCATTACACCTTCCTGTTCACTTTTCACCGACGTAATTTATTTTCCTAGAAACTAGGAAGTAGGAGAATAAAAAACTTTTAAAGAAAATTATAATAAATTACATTAAAAATTACTTCAGTTTTTTATATATTATTAAAAATATATAGAATACAATTTATATAATTTAAATTCAGGAAATTATATTTGTTTACTAAAGCGTCCACTTCTTTCATCTCAAATGGAACTCATCTTTTGCGTTCTCAGTGTATTGGCTCTTTCCATGAAAGTCACTTCCTGATTACTTGAGACTCTGCTAATTAGCTAAATTGATTTGAATTTTATGACCCGCAAAATTACTCTGTTCTGAAAAGACAGGGAAACTCAATATTTGAAACAGTTAGAATTGAAACTAAATGATTTGAATTAAATTTTCTAGAAGCAGTTACGAAAATCGAACTGTTTTTCTGCGAGACAACGCCCAGTTCAGAATTTTTTTTGCAACAAATATCTCAACACTTCTAATAGTTTTCGCCACTCTCTTTTCAGCTGTTGTGACATTTTTTGGCAAAGCAGAACGCAATGGCGCCAAAGACGCCGCCATTTTCGCAGCTCGACAAAATGGCGACAAGGACATCCACATCCGCATCCGCATTCACATCCAGTTGGCTCTGCCGCATGCTGCTACTCGGCTTTTGCATTGGCGCCGCTGCCGCTCGAGGTAAATATCCATAAACATTTATATAAATTCATTTTCCGCTCTGGCACATAAAATACCCCCGCATATATATGTACATACTGGGGTTTTAAAAAAAATTGCAATCTCCCGATTGTACGTTTGAATTTCGGGCAGTTTTGTTTGGTTGGGTGTGCGGTGCGGTGCATCGAACAAATGAAAACAGCAAAGGCACCTGCGGCCTTTGGTGAGCAAAAACTAATTATGTATCTGTCAAAATCGAACGAGCAAACAATGCCTTCCGCTTGTTTCAGTTTGTGCTGCGAATACCGCATATAAATATTATTAATTAATCTGATAGGTTGACTTTAAAAGCTTTATGAAATTTAATTGAATTACTTTTCTGGTTTTACCTTCACCCACAAATTAGGAGTTTCTATTCTAGTGCTTTAGACGCTTAAAAAGTTTTACTTAAAGCGTCACTGAACAATTTAATTTATCCTTCCATTAATCGACCATTTCTCGACCTTTATTGTTAAATAAAATTACCACATTCGACGACCCAAAACTGTCAATAAAACTGCTTATTGCACTGCCGCTTTGACACATTCTGTGTTTTTAATTTAAAAGAATTCTTTAAATATTTGCTTTCAAACGTTAATCGCCGAGACAGTTGAGCCGTGTGAAATATCGCACTTTAAAGCTGCAACATGTACATCCAACAACAGCATATACGTATATTTGCATCCAGGGAGAGGCAAACACGTCGCAAACTAAAGTTGAACAATTTAAATATCAGTTACAAAATCGCACACAAACAATGTCACACCGAACATGGACACCAATATCCCAATTCCCAGCACCTGAGCTTACCCCTCATACCTGATATTTTACCAAATTTGACTCCACCTCGAATCCCATGGATGGCAACAACAAAATCCTCAATTCGACTGGCACATACAAAGTGGCAGTGTCGAAAAAAGATGGACAAAAATATCCTGAACGAGATATATATTTATCAAAACTAGTAATCCACTTGGTGTTTGAAAAAATGCAATTCGATTTGGCGGGGCTACGGCTCGCACGTGATACCCATAAACGGTTTAAAAATCAAAAATATCCCGAACGAAGCGTCTGGCGGTCGCCAATCATGCGAATTTTATTGCAATATTGCGACAATTTTTATTAAAATTTTAGAATTTTCAATTTATTTAGCACTCGAGCCTGGCCGAACAGGCCATCGCCTTCCGTATCGCAGTGGATGCCGATTTTGCTCTTTGATTTGTTGCAGCTGCGTGAAATTTGGTCAGCAGATATTGGCCAGTCCCGGATCGGACACTGTACGTGATTTGATTTCTCTTCACATGCTGAATTCTTTTCGTTTAGTCAGCACAATATTCCCGTTAGCAAGTCAAAGTATACCGCAGTTACGGGAATTTGAAGGATCCCATGCATTTGGTTGGTCATTTAAAGTGCAGCTCCACAAATCGAAATCGAATGGCCAGCGAAAGCGAGACTAATAGAGTTCAAATTGAATTGGCCATTTCGTTAACATTTTCTATGGGCCAACTTCAATGTTTATCGGCCAGACAGGAAACTGTTTCCCGAGGAGAGTAAATAGGAAATAAAATGTAGGGGGTAGCGAGAAAAGAGGCCAGCGAAAGCAAATTTAACATTTCCAGAAAAATAATTTAAACATTCAATCCGAATTAAGAGTTATCTAAGTCTTGTAAAAAAACTAAATCATTTATATTTAAGTTTGAAAATCATCTTTAATTAATTTAATTTAAATCTTGCATTTCATTTAGAGGAGGATAATAAAATTTCGTACTCAGTCAAGTCATCTAAAGAGTATTCAGACTTAGCTTTCAAATACTCCTAACCTTCTTTTGGATTTCCCTTTGGCCGCTTCGCTTGTCAACAAGCCGATAAGTTTTGCTGTTTTTACCTTCCCAGTTGGCCTGCATCCTGTGCGCCAGCATCCTGGCCAGCCTCTCTGTACTGTCCTGTGTTGACCCAGGCAAATGCTAATTTTATTATGACAAATGCGCCAAGTCAGGTAGAGACTTTCCTTTTTCCAGCATGTTCCTCCGCAATCCTCCGCACAAGTCTAGACGACCCCGAGCTCATTCCACAAAGAGGGCGCAGCTAGAGGAGAGGCACAAAGTCTCATTTATTACGAACGCTAATCTAACAACAATCTGCAAAGTGCTTCAAGTCATTGGTTCGTTAGCTTTGGCTTTATAAACGATGCTCCTGGACTTATCCCACAATCAAAATCAAGCTACCGTCTTACTCACAACAGCTTCTAAATCACGCCCCTCATGGGGTCTCTAATTGAAAATGATCACCAGGTTTCCGTTCGGACCCTCAATTACGTTGGTCAGAAGGCGAGCTTAACCTAAGTAGACAGTTTGTTGGTTTGTCGAACAAGGCGAACATGCCTCTGGAAAAAGAAACCACAACTTAGGCGCAAATTGCCGCAGAATGGAGATCTCGCAACCAGTTGCGGATGTATCTATGTGTCTGCACATGCGTGCGAGCTGTTCCTTCTACTTCTGCCTCTGCCTCTGAAATCTTGCCCCCCGACCACACTTGTCAGCTGTAATCTAAATAAGCGATTTGTCTGTGCATAACTTTTGCCCAAGAACAAGACACCAGCCACAAGCTAGGATATACACTGTCTGTTCAAGCATTGAACACTATTTTTTCTTAAGTTAGAGTTTCAAGGGATCGGACCCATGAAATATGAGTCAAACAGATGGTTCAAAACCGATCCCCTGCAGCCTAACACAAACAAATACATAAGTGGTGCGCTTATCGCACTGGAGAAAGGGTCGCATAGCAGGTCAACGTGCAGTGCGTTGATAAGTAGTTTTAAACACATAGATTTAAGAATTTCATGTACCGTACTTATAAGAGAACTTCACCGAATAAAATCAGTTTCCATAAGGAGCTCATTGGAGTACGACCTTTATTTTGGGGCTCCTCTTAACACTGTCAGAAATTAAATATAGCTTAACCGCTCCGGGGCTACGATTTTACAGAATTTAGTTTATTTGAACAACTCTCTTATTTCCGTGTACTTGCCACAGAAATCTCAGTCGTTTGCAGAACTTGAAGTTAACAAATAATTTGTATAATTTATTCAAGGAAATTTCCTTTTCTTGTTTTTGTTCAAGAGGCGGAATTTACGAGGCGATAGCCTCTTATGGCCAACTGATTTATCGGGCCAGGAGTGGAATTCCACTGGGTAGGGTATCCCAGCATAAATAATTAACACGTGCATAGTTTGGATTGCAATTTGCAACTGGAGGCTTGGATTTTTATGGCAAGCAGTTGACTCTTTGATTGTCCAGTTGAATCTCAAGATGCTGCGACTCTATTCTTTTCTTGGAAACTGAGAACTTCCGGAAAGTTGTCGAGTGTGAGACTTTTGTGATTCTCAAGAAGTTCACTGTCTGCGCTGGAGCATTTAAAAGAGTTTAATTGTTAATTCATGCTTTTTACCTGCTTTGTTCCTTAATGGTAATGACCTCTTCTAAGTCCAACGACAGTTCTTCAGGCACGATTTGAGCTTTTTCACTAAGGAACTGTCCCCTTATTTAAGCACCTGAGGCCAAAATACTACATGCGAATGTGTGGCTGCTGTGGCGGAAGATTTTATTATTATTGACACAAAACTAATGCAATACAAAAGTTTGCTCAAACATAACACCACCACAAAAACAAGAACAACTTCAATTGGAACAGCAATGCCCAAGAATTTAGTATCACATCAAGTGCCGGCTGCAGCTGCTTTGATTGCTCTTTGGCAAGTTTTTGGCCAGCTTGCCTCGACTGGGTGTTTCCACAAATTCAACTAATTGTCAGCAATTCATTTGCCAAATATACGTAATAGTTACTTTTTCTGCATCAGTTGCCTTCCCTTTTTGTCGTATATTTTCTGTAATTGGAACAGTAGAAAAATAAACATTTTTTGCTCTGTTTTCTAATTTACTCGGATTCTTGGGTGGCGTTGAATCAGGTATTCTTGGTCCGGAATTCTTTAAATAACTTTATTTCCTTTATTTCAATTTATGAATTTTATATTGGACTCAAAGTAGAAATTATTTTAGTTATATTCATGTTCATAATAAAATTTTCAATATAAATTTTGAATAATTAAAGTACCGTTCTCGATACTTTTTTAAAAATAAATTTGTTAGAAGACCCTTTTTCTGTACAAGAAAACATAATAGAGGTCGTTGACTCCTTCAGCAGACTCCTTTTGCACATCCTTTAAAGCATGTTGCCCTATTTGCACTCGTACATGTTGTAATTGTTAGTATTCCTCTGGTATTGTAGAAGCTTAATTGAAAATATTGTGAATGTACAACAGTGTATATGGCGCAGCGTGTGTGGGCCCCTTTGTTTGGGCGTGTTTAGCTATAGCTGGGAGCATCTTTGTGCGCCACTCCCTAAATGAAATTAATTGAAGGCCCCCGGGCCTTCAAGAACACACTCCCTTCAATTGGCAAGAAAAGTTGTGCCATACATATGTAACTTTTTATACGCCCAATATCCGGCGGCTATTGTTGCAGTATGGCGGAGCCGTAATCAAGCTAAGGGTATCAAAGGTGCAAGGTATGAGAGGGGGGATGGCTGGAAAAGTGGCGTTTTTCAATATGGGCGAACAATAGCTAAAAAGTTGATCAATTGTTCTAGGGAAAGTTGGCCAGAGAATGCATATGCTTGGCTTCTTAAAGGTCGAATTTCAATGTCTTTGTTCAAGCTAAAAGGATCCAGTATCAGCTTATATCAGGCATTATTATATATGATTTTCCTACATTATAATACAAGAAATTAAACTTTCCCCAAATTAAATTTCAATAATAGATGGTGTTTTTGTATGTATGTTCATATTTACTGACCTGCCCAAGGTATATGTTTTCTTAACGAATAAGACAAGTTTTAATCACATTAAAGTTGGAATAATAAACATATCGACACAAAATGCAAAATTAATTTCATTCGCCGTACTTCGAGATAAACCCAAAGTAAGT